AGCAGAATCCTATGTCTTTCCAGTGGCTAGCTCTATATCCCCAGACAAATTTCCTTATTTTTCTGAACTTTCTTAGGGAAATTGTATATGATGAAATACAGTGTTTTTTTATAGGGCTATTGTAAGCAGTTTCTTCTCACAGTAGACAATAAATACTGAATAACACTCCTTATTCCAATCCCTGATTAGTAGTATCATTTTCATTGAGAAAAATTATTATGCAATTGTAAAAGAGTCCAGTTTAAAAGATTGTGAAATCTGCATGCTTACACAACAGGAAAATAAAATAATTCTGAAATAAATTATTGCTTTACTTTTAGGGGTTATTATCTCTAAATATGTGATTATTAACACTTGTTGCTTTTATCTTCCTCTTAGTGTTTTAATTTAAAAAAAATATTTTATAGAGAGGGTGGGAGAGATAGAGAAACATCAATGGGAGGAAGAAACATAGATCGGTTGCCCCCTGTATGTGCCCTAACCAGGAAAGGAACCATAATCTAGATACGTGGGAATTGAACCCACAGCCTTCTGGTGTATGAGACAATTCTTTAATCAACTGAGCCACACTGGCCAGGGATTCCTATTTGTGTTTTAAATTATCATGTGCTATACTTTAGGGCATATTAAAATAATTTAATTTATCATCCTTTCAGTTTATTACTTAAGGACTGCTTGGGTTAATCTGAGTTTGTAAATATGCCAATCTGGGAAAGTTATGCTATAACCCACATCCCTTAAATGCTGGATGTCTAATTGTACTCAAGAACCTCACTGTGAGGGATGCTCGCCCGGTACTAATATTAAAAAAACTGCTCAGAAGTCAATGTAGGGTACAGGGATTTATTTAGAAACTGATGTTTACATGTTAACTTCTATGTTAAATTGAATGATAATTGAAAATTTCACACAGCTCTTGGCCTTTCCTCTTTAGCGTTCTAATATCAGTGAGCACTATCGATATATTGGGCATTGTGGCTTTTTATGGGACAAACAAATTGGGAGACAAGTCTATCTCCTAGTGGGACAACGGTTCACCTTCCTGTTCTTAATAAAAACTGCCATGCATTTCAGTTATTTGTTTTACTATTCCTCATAATAGCTACTTAGGAAAAATAAACATGTTTTTCTAAAAATAATTGAAAACTATTGATCTAATCTTATTGTAATTTACTCATATTTGTATCAGTTTTGTACTCATGAATTACCAATTTTCTAGATTGTAGACTAAAATAATGTTGGTCTTGAATCAATAATACTGTCAGAAAGTATATAAAAACTGGAACACACTACAACAATAATCTGTTGCTATAATCAAAGCAGTAAATTCTTATGTACCATATGCACAATTAATACACTACTTCATTGAGATCATTTGTCATATCTTTTAAAAATTTGCTAAATAAAATCATCTACATTTTGTTAGACTGAACCTCCCAAAACCCCCCCCTCGTCAACCTACCCTGCCCCAGTTCCAAGAACCTAACGCCTTAACCGCAGAATGCTCTTGGTCCTGGGTTGCAAAACAACCTATCTGCTTGGCTAATCTTGCGGGTTTGAGCAAATGATAGCTACAGGATATAACCGTTGCATAACCTAGAATAGAATGGAAAATTTTTTTAACCACCTGCGTGTGGTTTTTGCCTTTAAAAGCTGTACCCTTCCCCTTGTTCGGGGCTCCAGCTAGCACTCACCCCTTGGTGGCTGCAGGCTGTGAGACCGAGCGCTCGAATAAAGCCTCTTGCATTTGCATCAATTTGGTCTCCTGGCTCTCTCTCTCGGGGTCGCCACCGGTCAGGACCAGAGACCAGGGGGGTCTCTGGCCCAACATTTGGGGGCTCGTCCGGGATCTGTGGCGGCCACAGAGACGACCAAGACCATCTTGGAGGTGAGTTTTTGTGTCGGCCGACTGTCTGTCTTTGTGTTATGTCCCTGTGTGCGGCAACTGGTTTCGGTTTTTATTCTGGTTCCAACGGGACTGTCTCTGTCGTGAGAGAGGACAGTCTTTGGGTCAGACAGGGGGTCTGGCTCTCAAAAACCGTTGTCCCCGGGAGACGTCCCGGGGTTGGGGAGATTGATCTCTGTCAGAGATCGCCTCCGTCTGTTCTGGTCAGGTTGTTTATTCTGGTTCCAACGGGACTGTCTCTGTCGTGAGAGAGGACAGTCTTTGGGTCAGACAGGGGGTCTGGCTCTCAAAAACCGTTGTCCCCGGGAGACGTCCCGGGGTCGGGGAAATTGATCTCTAGCTGAGATCATTTCCATCTGTTCTGGTCAGGTTTTATATGACTCCGTCGCCTGTCACATTGTGGTTGGACCGAGGATTGCCGCGGCCCGGTTTTATAGTTGTCTGTGGTTTCATTTCTGTCATTATTTGTTTTGGTTTTTTGTTCAGTGACATGGGTCAGGGGAAGTCGACTCCGCTGAGTGCGACTCTTGATCATTGGAAAGAGGTCCGAGGACGAGGTTTCGATCTTTCGGTAAATGTGAAAAAGGGTCCCTGGCAGACTTTCTGTTCAGCCGAGTGGCCCACTTTTGGTGTTGGTTGGCCGGTCGATGGTTCTTTTGATTTAAATTTGATTTCCCAGGTTCTCTCCCGAGTTTTCGAGTCCCGGACTGGTCACCCCGATCAACAACCTTATATTCTTGTCTGGCAGGACCCAGCCTCCTTGTTCGCCCGATTCTACGGTCACCTGTCCCCTCCGCCCTCTCGGCCCACCGCCGCCGCCTCTCGACGACGGCACCCCGGTTCTCCCTCCCTTCAGTATTGGCCCTTCTCCTCCTCTGATCTGTATAACTGGAAAACTAACCACCCTCCGTTCTCTGAGGACCCGTCTAAACTCACCGCTCTGGTTGAGTCCCTCATGTTTTCTCATCAACCCACTTGGGATGATTGTCAGCAACTTCTCCAGACCCTCTTTACTACAGAGGAAAGAGAGAGAATTCTCCTAGAAGCTAGGAAGAATGTTCGGGGCCCGGATGGGCGCCCGACACAGCTCCCCCACCTCATAGATTCTGCCTTTCCCTTAGCCCGCCCTGATTGGGATTTTAACACTGCAGAAGGCAGGGAGCGACTGATAGTCTACCGCCAGACTCTAATGGCAGGTCTCCGAGGGGCTGCCCGTCGCCCCACTAATTTGGCCAAGGTGAGGGAAGTTATACAGGGAGCCACGGAACCTCCGGCAGTGTTCCTAGAAAGGTTAATGGAAGCCTATCGCCGATACACCCCTTTTGACCCCACGTCTGAGGGTCATAGTGCATCGGTGGCAATGGCTTTCATTGGTCAGTCAGCCCCGGATATCAGGAGGAAATTACAGAGGATGGACGGGTTACAGGATTTAGCTCTCAAGGACCTCGTTAAAGAGGCCGAGAAAGTTTATCATAAAAGAAAGACAGAAGAGGAAAAGGAGCAGAGGCAGGAAAAGGAAAGACAGGAGCAAGAGAAACAGAGAGAGAAGCGGGAAGAGAAGCGACTGACTCGTATCCTGGCCGCAGCGGTAGGAGAGAAATCAGATCAGAAAAAGAAACAGAAAGGACAGAAAGGGAAACGCCAGGGCGGCAATCGACCTCCGTTAGACTGAGACCAATGTGCCTACTGCAAAGAAAAAAGACACTGGAAGAAAAAATGCCCCCAGATGCCCAAGAAAGATCCGGTTCTGGCCCTCCATGAGGACAGCGACTAGGGGGGTCAGGGCTCGATTCCCCTCCCCGAGCCCCGGGTAATTCTCAATGTAGAGGGAAGACCGGTCAATTTCCTGATTGACACCGGGGCTCAGTTTTCAGTCCTCAAGCGGCCTCTAGGAAAACTATCTGGCCAAGCCTCCCTGGTCCAAGGGGCGACCGGACATAAGAAATACCCTTGAACCACTACCCGGAGCATTGACCTAGGCCGGGGAGAAGTGACTCACTCATTCCTTGTCATACCTGAGTGCCCCGCTCCCCTCCTGGGAAGAGACCTCTTGACCAAGCTGGGGGCCCAGATTACCTTCACCCCGGCAGGACCTACTACCAAATGGGGACCCCCGATGGCCCTCACTCTCCACCTAGAGGATGAACACCAGCTCTTTCAGCCAACCGATGGGCAACGGAAGGCAGGTGCTGCGGTTGTAAGCCTTCAAGATACGGTATAGACAAGTAGCCTCCCCGAAGGGACCTCGGCCCAAAAAGCAGAACTAATCGCCCTCACTAAAGCCCTACAGTTAGCAGAGGGGAGGGCAGTCAATATCTACACTGACAGTGGATATACTTTTGCCACCGCACATGTACATGGTGCCATCTACCGACAGCGAGGCCTGTTAACTTCGGCAGGAAAAGAAATCAAAAACAAATCGGAGATCCTACAATTGTTAGACGCTGTCTTAGCACCTAAACGCCTAGCCATTATACACTGCCCCGGGCACCAGAAAGGAGAATCTGAGGTTGCAGAAGGGAACAAACGAGCTGACGCAGCAGCCCGAGGAGCAGCCCTCGGACCTTGCCTGCTCACCCTGACGGTGTGGCCCCTGAAGCCTCCCCAGCCGACTTTTCTACACTACTCCCAAGAAGAGGAAAAAAAATTTTCCAGCCAGCCTGATCTGTTCCTAAAGAAGCAAGGCATCTGGACTACCCGGACGGAAGGTAAGCCGGTTGTCCCCCGGGAGGCGGCGGCCGAGTACCTTGCCCAACTTCACAGAATCACCCACCTTGGAGAAAAAAACCTCAAAAAAATCTGTGGCAGTACTGGATACCACTTCCAAGGACTGACCAAGGCCCTAGAGAAAGTCATCCGAAGCTGCCGGGCTTGTCAGTTGGTCAACGCAAAAACTTCTGCCATCCCTGAAGGGAAACGGGAAAGAGGAGATAAGCCAGGAGTTTACTGGGAAGTTGACTTCACTGAGGTAAAACCTGCCAGGTATGGATATAAATACCTACTAGTATTTATAGATACCTTTTCAGGATGGGTTGAGGCCTTTCCCACAAAACATAAGACTGCTATGGCGGTAGCCAAGAAAATCCTGGAGGAGATTTTCCCTCGATTCGGACTGCCCAAGGTAATCGGGTCTGATAACGGACCGGCTTTTGTTGCCCAGGTAAGTCAGGGATTGGCCAGGATACTGGGGATTAATTGGAAATTACATTGTGCCTACCATCCCCAAAGTTCAGGACAGGTAGAAAGAATGAATAGAACCCTAAAAGAGACCATGACTAAATTATCCATAGAGACTGGCTTAACAGACTGGACAGTCCTCCTCCCCTATGCCCTTTTTAGAGTAAGGAATACTCCGAATTCTGTTGGGTTGACCCCCTTTGAACTCCTCTTCGGAGCGCCTCCACCCCTGGCCATAGATCCCTGGGATAGTCACCCTTCTATCTCTACCCCCCAATCTCTCCTGGCCAGGCTGAAAGCCATCGAGTCCCTGCAGAAGGAAGTATGGACTCCCCTGGCAGAGGCCTATAAGCCGGGGGACCTTCGAGTTCCACACCAGTTTCAGGTCGGGGACCTGGTCTACGTCCGGCGCCACCGCACCGCCAGCCTGGAGCCCAGGTGGAAGGGTCCTTACGTCGTCCTCCTGACCACACCCACAGCCGTCCGGGTTGATGGAGTCCCAGCCTGGGTCCATGCCGCGCACGTCAAGAAAGCACCCGAACAGGATCCGGATGGCTGGGTCGCGGAGAAGACGGACAACCCCCTCCGACTCAGGATCTACAGGCGCCCCGACTCTACTCACCCGACCCCTTGACGGCGCCCTGACCTTCAGCCCCGCTCTGGTCGGACTTCTTCTTCTCCTAAGTATCCCTCAAACCGACTGCAATCCCCATGCCCCCAAGAGACTAGCTTGGAAAGTAATATCTGGGCACACGGGAAAAGTTATCTGGTCCATAACGAAGGTGGCCCCTCCCGGCACCTGGTGGCCCGACCTTACACCAGATCTCTGTGCCCTGGCAGCTGGGGCGAGACATTGGGATATACCACTTCTTGAGGCAGAAGAAACCAGAAAGGGACAAGAGAGCCGCGACTACATAGGTCGCGGGGCTGACTTACAATATGGGGTACATTGTAGTTATCTGTGGGTTCGGGAGCAATTAGCCCGTACTACCTTTTATATATGCCCCAGAGACAGGATGGGGCATAGAAAGAATTGTGGAGGGGAGCGGGAGTACTTCTGTGCAGAATGGGGATGTGAGACCTCAGGTACGGCCTACTGGATCAGGAACCCAGCCCAGTGGGATTTAATTCAAGTGGGACGAAATCGAACCCAGAACAGCCAGGCTAGGGGATGGATAAATATCTTAAACATCTCCTTCACTTCAGCTGGGAAGGCAGCAGCAGTATACCATTGGAAGGCAGGGAAGAAATGGAAGCTTAGATTATATAAAGACGGCCACGATGATGGTCTTCTTTTCTGGATCCGGTTGGACATTAGTGATTACCAACCTTCCCCTGTGATAGGACCCAATCAAGTCCTCTCTGGGCGAGAGATTCGAGAGAAAATAATCGCCCCTACTCCTAGCCCAGGCCCCTCCTCGTCCACGCCTTTAAAGACAACGCCAATAATTCCACCCCCTCGGAAATACCCAGGCACAGAGACTGTTAGGCCTAGTAGAGGGAGTATATAGTACTCTGAATAGATCAGCACCAGACCTGACTGAAGGTTGCTGGCTCTGCCTATCTGCTGGACCTCCCTACTACGAAGGAATAGCTTTCTCAGGTAATTACAACAACACCACCCACCACGGCCATTGCTCTTGGGGGACAGAGGGGAACTTGACTCTGACTGAACTCTCTGGACAAGGAACTTGCTTAGGAAAGGTACCTAAAGACCGGACTATTTTCTGTAACAACACCCTGAAGACCCCTCCCTCGATAGGAGCTTTCTACTTAGTACCCCCCACAGGAGGATGGTGGGCCTGCAATACTGGGCTTACACCCTGCCTAGCCACCCAGGTCTTCAACCCGCTAACAGACTATTGTATTCTAGTCCAATTAGTTCCCCGAATCACGTATTATCAAGCAGAGGCCTTTGAAGGAGAATTCGACTCGAGCCTCGGCCTGCCATTAAGAAGTAAGAGGGAGCTAGTCTCCCTCTCACTTGCCGCTCTTCTAGGACTAGGAGTGGCAACCGGAGTGGGAACAGGGGCAGCTGCATTTATCCAGGCCCCTAGGTATACGGAAGAACTAAGAATAGCCATTGATGAAGACTTAAAGAATATAGAGCAATCCATCACCAAACTAGAAGAATCCCTAACTTCCTTATCAGAGGTAGTCCTCCAAAACAGGCGGGGGCTCGACCTCCTCTTTCTGAAGGAAGGAGGTTTATGTGCTGCACTCAAAGAACAATGCTGCTTTTATGCAGACCACTCGGGCTTAATAAAAGACTCCATGGCTAAACTCAGAGAAAGATTAGAAACGAGACAAAAAGAAAGAGAAAGCAGAAAAGGCTGGTTCGAACAATGGTTTGATAGTGCTCCATGGTTAACTACTCTCCTATCCTCGCTTCTGGGCCCCTTGGTAATCTTGATTCTCTTACTTACCATTGGGCCGTGCATCCTAAACCGCCTGGTCTCTTTCGTCAGAGACAGGATTCAGTCAGTCCACATGCTAGTGCTTCAGCAACAATACCAACCCCTAGACACCGAGACCACCCTTTGAGTCCGATGATTCGGACTCTCCAAAACAAAAGGGGGGAATGTTAGACTGAACCTCCCAAAACCCCCCCCTCGTCAACCTACCCTGCCCCAGTTCCAAGAACCTAACGCCTTAACCGCAGAATGCTCTTGGTCCTGGGTTGCAAAACAACCTATCTGCTTGGCTAATCTTGCGGGTTTGAGCAAATGATAGCTACAGGATATAACCGTTGCATAACCTAGAATAGAATGGAAAATTTTTTTAACCACCTGCGTGTGGTTTTTGCCTTTAAAAGCTGTACTCTTCCCCTTGTTCGGGGCTCCAGCTAGCACTCACCCCTTGGTGGCTGCAGGCTGTGAGACCGAGCGCTCGAATAAAGCCTCTTGCATTTGCATCAATTTGGTCTCCTGGCTCTCTCTCTCGGGGTCGCCACCGGTCAGGACCAGAGACCAGGGGGGTCTCTGGCCCAACACATTTCATCTATCTTCTTTTCTTTTATTTTCTTTGCATACATTAAGAAAAAGTTCAATACAGTTTTCATATAATAATGTCAATGTTTTATTTTATTTTGTTCTGTTTTTGCCTTATCAGGGCATAAGCACTTAATTATAGACCAGTAAGTTATTATCTTTTTATTTTAAAGAAGAAATTCAGTCTTTTAGAGGTTAACCAACTTTCTCAGGGACACACAGCCATAAAAATGTTTCTGGTTTCCTTCTATAGGTTTTAATATCCTCAGCAATACTTTCTGTACACTTAGCATGGTGCTTCATAAAAGAGTGTGGAGTGAATTCATCTTCTTGACTGACTAATCTCTAATTGAAACTGATCATAACAACTCCAGCCAAGTAAGATTTACATAACATGTCCCTAATTTTACTTTCTAGTCATAATAAAATAGTGGAGAAAATATTCCGATTAAATAAGTCCCACATGAATCTTCTAAAAAAACAAACAAACTGAACACTAAAAAAATAAAGGAGCGAAAAAGAATCTCCTTTTTCAGATATACTAGAAAATACTCGTTACTGTAAATCTTATCAATTGAGAAATAGTGACATTTAGGATATAAATTAGATTTTGTAGGCTAATTCATGTGTACACTGTGAAACACTGTGTTGTACTTTCTAAACAATAAAACCAATACTTATTTTCTTTCTTTTTTATTTTTACTGTTTTCAGAGATTTTCTACATGTGGTTAGACAAAACTCATCAGGGAAGGCAGAGCCAAAAACTAGTAATTGATACACTGTGTTTTTAAAGAGATTAATTCATTAAGGGTAGGAAAAGTGAGTCAGGCACCACTGTTGACTTTATCTTTTGAAGGAAAAGAAATGTTAAGTCACCACTAGACTATAAGCCATTCTTGCTGCTAGTCCAGAACTGAAATAGATGCAATTATTTAGGAAGATTAATAAGAAGTATGTTTAACCAACATACCTAAATCCATAACTTTTAGTTTTGCAGCCATCAAGTCATTATCCTTAAAATATAACAGACAACACTTGCAATTCTCAAATAACTTTAAATGGTTCCCCCCAAAAAATTATAGTAGTAAGTAGAAAGAATACTATATTGAATTGGTGCTAAAATATGTGAACAACTGCAAAAAATAATAAAACTAAAATTAATATACATGATGGAATTATTTTCCTTTGTACTTCATAAAATGAAGAAACATAAAATAGTACAATTTAAAAATATAAGAAAATATATCATGAAAAATAAACAGATAAAGCTTAAAATAAATAAGAAGAGAAAAATCAAATGATAATAGAATCTATGCCATTAGCAACACAATTAGATAATAGGCCCTGATGAAAATAAACTTAGAAACCAAAAGAAAAGACCTGATATATTTAAGCAGAATAAAACACAGAAAAAATATTCAAAGTAATTAGGGAAATAGTAATGAAGTGATATATATTTTAATCAAATCAAAAACATATGAGTATTTAAAAATCAAAGTATATATTTCTAAAATAAAGAAGTAATTATATTGATAGTTTGAATAGTATGCTGTGTCCCAAAGTAATAAGTATTATATGATAGCAGATATATAAAAGCATTCTTTTATTTATTTTTATTTTAATAAAAGTATTATTTTAAACAAAATATTAGCAAGCAAAATCCCAAATTCCAAATTATTTTTAAAAAGAATGTTCCAAAATTAACATATTTATTTCTAAAATAAAAGCTAGGTTAATGTCAGAAAATCTATAAATGCATCTCACCATGTTAACTGATAAAAGAAGAAGCATTTGTCCACTTTATTAGCCATAGAAAAAAGCATTTGTAATACTTGATATGCATTTATTTTAAAAGATCTTCTCATCTTAGGGGAACTTTCTTAAACTGATGAAGATCATCATAAAAGACCATAGGAAAATATGGAAGCTTGCTGGAAATATTTTTCTTTTCTTTTCGGAAGATATTTTTTATTCAAAGTTTAAGATTAAAAAATACAAGAATTTACTTGCAGCTGATGAGCAGAGAGAAAAAAAAATCCATAAATCATCATCTGCTAGTTAAATTCTCTGAATCAGAGTCAAATTGCACAGTGACATGTAGTTACTCTGTGTGGGCTTAGGAGTTCTGGAGCAAAATCGTTCTAAACAAAACGTATCATCTGAGAGCACAGGACTAACGGGTATCTGAAA